CCCGTCGAGACTGCTTGTAGGGCCCTGCCCCGCCCGGGCCCCGCCCTGTGCGAGAGAGAGAGAGACGGGGCGCTTTTGTCTCCATCGCGAGGACCCTTTGTCTCCGGAATGTTGGTCGTACTGGCAAGCAAGGAGGCGAGCAAGCCGCAGCAGCAGCAGCCAGCCAGTCTGGGGAGCTGAATGCCTTTGCATTTCCCTCCTCAAGTCGGACCCGGCCACGACTTGAAAAGCACACGCTGCCGCGACAAACTCGACTAACTCCAGCCCGGGCCCGCCCAGCCCCGCCGCCCGTATTAACTAATTGTTTATTCCATCACGGTCGCGACGGGTCGCGTCGGGTCCCCCGGCCCGGCGGCTAGAGGCACAACCGGGAGGGCGACAGAGGGGGCCCAGGCTGCACTGCCATTTCACGACAACGTTTGACATAACAAAATGTCTCGTTTTCATTATTTTTCCACGGTCCTATCGCCGTATCGCTGAGCTCGAGGGTCGTATAAGAGAGAAGCGATTATGAGAGACCACGTGATAAGGTTTAGCGCCTGTCCCTAACAGTTTACCTGATTGATTGCCTTTATCAGAACTTCCACAAAAACTTGCATCATCGAACAGAAAGAGCAGAGGAGACGACAGTGGCAGCAGAGTATGTCGATGACGGGCCCCGGTCCGATACACACTGCGACAAGTCTAACGAGCCCACGCCACGCCACGCCACGCCACGCCACGCCCAAGCCCCGCTGCACTGCTGGAATCGGTCACGCTACATAAAAAACGCATACGGGCTTCCCTCCACTTTTTTTAACAGCCGTTCCTTGTTTCGGAATAACTCCATACTGCCCTCCTCTTCGACGTCATTAATAACGCTACGACTTTTAGGACCCCCCGCCCCTCTGCCTCGCCCGACGGACACACATGCGAGTCAGACGGGCGCGACAAATTTTAACAAGTCTTTACGATTCTTCGGTCCTGGCCGCGCCTGGGCAGGCCTGGCCGCCGTGTGGCCCGGGGCGGGCCCTCCCCTGCTCCCAGCCCCATCTCCTCACTTCGGCGGCTAGAGAGAAAGATGTGTCGTATAATACGCGTGTTTTCCCGTGGGCGTGGTGGGAACGTCATCCGTCCTTGATGTATATGATTTACGCCCTCTCTCTCTCTCTCTCTCTCTCTCTCTCTCTCTCTCTCTCTCTCTGCCCCCGCCACGCCACGCCTTCCACACTGCTCCCACAAGGCCAGCGGAAGGCGACGACACACACATAGCACTACTATACTGAGACAGAGCAGTCAAATGATTCGCAAATCCGCAGACCCCCTCGAAAAATAAAAGCAAACGTAATCCCATGAGCGTTAGACAGCTTTCCACTCACCCCCCCCCCCTCTTCTCAAAGTCTGTGTCGCCCTTTCGTCCCGACCGGCGAATAAAAACCCCTCCCTTCGTTCGCTTTATATTGTTTTCCTTACGACACCAGCGGCCGCCATCGCCCTCCGCAGGGCTACCCGAGGGGCTCCCCGAGGGGCTCCCCGGGCCAGGGCCCCGGGCGGGGAGGGCACCCCGGGGTCGCAATTACGGAGCACCGGGGGCCACCCCAGCCACCACCCCCGTCGGCACGCTCACTCGGTCAGGGAAGGCTTCGCGGGGCTTCCCCTTACATTCGTCACTGTCCAGGGCAAGCGGCGGTGGCGGGGCGCACCGCAGGCATTTCAACACATTTGTAGGTCAGAGATCGCACGGCTCCACACCACATGGCTCCGCACGGCGCGCGGGGCAGCTCTGCTTGATTTGCGAGGATCGGGCGCGACGAGGTGCGCGGTCCGGGGCGCCCCGCGGGGGGCAGCAGACCAGGCCTCGGGGGGCACAAGTCTGCAGCTGGCGGCCGCTGGCGGTCCTGTTGAGCCCGCGGCAGCCCGCGGCGCTGGAGCAGCAGCAGCAGCGGCGGCGGCGGCCTCAACACTTTCCCCTTATACCTGGCCGGGCTGCCTGCGGCGCATATGCAGGAGGCCGCGAGCGATCGCCGCCCCGCGCCCCGCTGCCCGCCTGTTGCATGCTACTTTACGCGATCAGCGGCCCGGCTGTCATATCAGCTGCTAGACCATTACCCCCTCCGGAGGGGGGAGAGGGAGAGGCGGGCTGGCAGCAGGGTACTACCGCCACCTTAACGACGGCGAGCAGTTTGCGCGACAGGGACGACGTTTTTATCGACCGCTATCACCTCTTCGTCGTCGTCGTCGTCGTGTTGCGAGGGAGCTCGCCGTCGTCAGCCGAGCACAGACTCCGTGTAGTGCAGCGAGCGAGCGAAGTCGCGTAATTGGGATGGGGGGAAAAGGGAAGCAAGGGGGAAGGGGTGGGTAATCCCTGGTGGGTGCAGATATCAGGAGCAGGGAATTAGGTAAGAGTTGTCACTCGCGCGGGATCAACCTTACTGTCGTTATTGCTGGGGTCTGCTAAAGCTCGCGTCTTGGGTGCTGCTGCCTATGCGACACCAGAGAAGGTGCTCCTAACACACAAACGCGCGCGCGCGCTCACACACACACAACACACACACACACACACTGGAGTAACAGCGAGTCTCCGCTGCAGTGCACTTACACTAATCCCTCCCTGCCTGCGCTGTCGTGCGTCCCGCTCCGCTCCGTGCAATACGTTACCAAATGCAAGATAAGGGGCGACACACACACACACACACACACACACACCTCCGCAGAGCGCCGCAGAGCACGACACAAAAGGAACCTCTATCGCACTCCAGCATTAATCCACCTGTTGTGCGGGGAGGAGGGGGTGCACGTTATCACTCACACACGCACGCACGCACGCGCACGCACACACACGGGCTGCTCACGATTTTAAATGCGGGCGTGAAATGATTATGATGAGAATAAAGCTGCGACGGGTCCGCACGCCGCCGCCGCCCACTTGGCTCACTCTCTCGCTAGCGAAGGCAATCAGTGGACACCACTCCATGTAAACCTCGACGTTATTATTTTATTTTTATATTTTTTTCTTTCGGGGGAGGTGAGAGGAACGCCGCAGGGAGCGAGTTAACAGTCTCGCTGCCGGAACGAGAAAAAGCGTTGCCGGTCTGAGGAGGCGAAAATGGGAGAAAGGTGGAGAATAGAAGCGGAGGAGAGGGAGAGGAGAGGGGTGCGGAGAGAGAGAGAGGTGGACAGATGGAACAGGAGGAGGAGCGGAGGCGGCGGGGGCGGCCGCTTTGGCGATGCGCGCCACGTACAAGGAGGGAAAGGGCACCGGGGGGAAACGGAGCGGGATCACGCGGGGGGAAGAGAGAGACAGACAACACCCATTACTAGCCATTCCGGTGAATTATTGTGCTGCAGGCCTCGGTGGGAGCTGCAGGTGTGAGCGAGCGCGGCGGGGCAGCGCCAGCACAGCACAGCGCCAGCAGCAGCCTCACAGCTAAACCAGAACTCGACAAAGGTCGACCTCGACTTCATCATGCTAGTAAGATGGTTTTTAGCCAGCTGTTTGCATTTTCAGAAGTGCTTGCTTTGTAGGTGAACGCGTTTTAAGGAGCTCTGTACGTTGCAGACATATTTTCTGTAAATGTTTCTACGTTTGTAGCCTGACTTTCCAGAAATTAAAATGAATTTAAATTGAGAATGAGGTGCAAATGTAGTTCAGGCGTCAATTACAGTATAAATCTAGGCGGGTTTTTCTGGATCACGGGCAACAAACGAGCAGCACGCGTCTACAGCGGCCGAGCCAGGTCGAGTCTCATCAGCAGGACGAGGAGATGACAGCGGCGCGTCGAACGAACGTGCCTCCGCGCACAAATAAAGTGCAGCGCGTGGCAGGCGCCGCTGCAGGGAGGGCCGCCCCGCCCTGCCCCGCCACTCTACAGCGCCGCGCCCGCCAGGGAGACTGCGCGACGTGACAAAGTCCGAAATAAGGCACTTACACAATGCGAGGCGGCGGCGGGGGCGGGGGCGGGGGCGGGAGCTGGGAATGAAAAGAAAAGGAAAGAGACGCATCGGCGGTGAGCGAAATAATTGAGAGGGAGCGAGAGAGGGAGAGGAGAGAGGAGGGAGGACGGCAGGAGAGCAGCCGGGAGCGTCGCCCAGGAACTAGGCAACCTGTTCTCTGCACCGGCCTGGGCGGGGGCCAACTTTCGGAAGCCATACTGCCGGTGCGGAGTCGGCCCCCTAGTGCCGCGCCAAAAAGAGACCGCGTTTTAGCAGCCACTCCACTCCACGCCTCCCAACCTTTGATGGAGACAGGCCCGCCTCTTTCGTCCCCGCTTCGCCGACGTTGGCACCGCCGCGATCCAACCTCTGATGATGACAATTAACGAGAAGCAGCTTACGTTGCGGCCCCCATATTTCCGAGCAATTCCCCCTAACCCTCCTACCCCCCAATTCCTTCGCCTCTGGCTCTACGAACCAAAGCGATCCAATAAGAAAGAGGACCACGGTAGCGTCCCCGGTCCGGCCGGCCGGCACAAGCGAGCACAAGCGTTCCAAAGGTGGCCCCCGCCGCCCCCTCC